TAAAAGTAAATTATATGAATATTTGAGTGAACATGTTTATAGATTAAATTAATTAATAGATAGATCAGAAGTATGGTTAACAGATTTCATGAAGAATTCAAAATATGAAGATTTAGATGAAACACTTGAAATTATAGATAATTTTAGATAAGGATTTTTTAAAGATACTCAAATAGGTGCAAGAATTATGTCATCTAATTAAGAAATTGATCCTGAAAAATAGAATTTAATGAATGCATTAAAAATCTATGTGCCTATTTTAAATTTAATAAGAGATCAATTATAATCTTTAGATTTTCATTTAGAAAATAATAAAAATATTCAAAAAAAATAAAGATTAGCATAATTATTTATTTATGCATTTTAATTTTTAACTTATTTTTGTAGAAATAATCATGAAAATTAAATTTTATTATCTTAAAATCTATCAAGTTTTGAATTTATTCATATTGAAGTAGGTTAAATTCCATTGATATGTGAAATCTATAAAGATAATTAAAAAATGTTATCATCAATAAATAAAAATGATAAAGTTTTTCATAAATTTGTAGAAGCAATATATTAAAATGGAAGGAAAGCTTAATATTTGGATTTCTTTTTAACAATAATAAAATAAGGAAACAAATATCTTTTTGATAATTAATTATTAGTTTTAAATACATTTTTAGAGAAAGAAGAATTATTATATACAGAAAGAAATGAATTTATATTTGATGGAGAAATCTAATTACATTAATCTGATTTTTTGAATGATTTAGCTCATCCTCCTCCAATAAATTAACCATTTAGATATCATAATAAATTATTAGATTTGTTATTATAATGTGCATATATATAAGTGATAGAAGGAGATTAAAAAGACAATTTTACAATTAATGTTGCAAAATTAAAAAAGAAATTCAGTTTATAATATTTGATATCTTTAATATGTAAATAAGATTCACTTACATCAAAGAATCCATCTATATAAGATTAAGGATATGGTTTAATTAAAAAATAATTATGGATATTTTTAATGAATGTTCATATTACAAGTGAAAAGAGTCATAATGTAGCTAAGGATATTTAGAATGATATAATGAGAATAACAGATTTTGAAATAAAAAGATTAGAATAATTATCAATTGATCTATCTTACACTAAATATTTTGATTTTTTAACAGATGCAGTATTACCATTATTTACAACTTATTTAAATCGTAAAAATTTACCAACTAGATTGGAAGAAGATGATGAAGCTCATGATTAAGAATAAAAAGATATATCATAATTACTTTCTTTTGCTAAATTATTATCATAGGCAATGATATAATTAGGAAAGTACATTACTAGAAAGAGACATGTTTAAAGTTTAACTGGATTTTTTTCATTTTTTTAAACAACAGAAATGGGTAGATGTTGTATTTCATTATAAAATTAATAATAAAAATGGGAAGATTTAGGTGAATATCATAATCTTAGATCAGTTATGTCTAATATAGATGCTGGTGCTAATGATAATTTTTAAACTGAATAATTAGAACCAATTATAATATTAAATTAAAATGCAATTTAATAAAGTCATGGAGATAATCCTGTACCAAAAACTATATTTTAAAATAATAATAATTATGTTAAATCTGAAGGTGCTGGAGTAATGTAATTTTGGTAAAAATCTAATAAGAAATAAAAAGATGAATAACCAATAATTGAAATGGAATTTAAAACTGAAGATGTAGAAAAGATTGCATTAGCATGGGAAGAATTTATTAGTCATTTATGTTTAGCAGATAAAACTAAGATATAAATTTAAGCTGAAATATAAAAATTATCAGAAGCTATTCTTGTATTTGAGTAATATTTTGGAGGATCAAATGATAATAAGAATGAAAAGAATGATAAAGTTTTAAAAGTTGAAAGGACTATATTAATAAAGAAATTTATTAATTTTTTGAGTTATGCATTAAATAATAATTAGAATAACAAAACTATTATTACATTATTAAGTGTATTAAGAAAATTAATTGAAGGAAAATCTAAAGAAGAAAATTAAGGAGAACTTGAAGTTGAAGGAGAAGACAATGAAATGGAAGAAATGCAAAATTTATTTAATAAATTAGGAGCTACAAGAATGGTATTGACTGTATTAAGTGAATCAACAACTTTAGATAGTGAAATGTTAAGACATTTTCTTATGTTTATAAATACTCTTCTTTCTGGAGGAAATAATAAAGTTTAAAAAACTATTTCTGAATTTATGAAAACTTATCCTAAAAGTGAAGTCATTTTTAGTAGATTAAATAATGTTATTTAAGCTTAAATTAAACAAATTACTATAAAAGCTAAAGATAAAAAGAATGAAGAGTAATTATAAAATCAATTTTAATAATAAGATGAACCAAATATTTAAGAAATGTAATAATAATAAGAACTTGAATTATTACTTAATTAAGTATTAAAATTTCTATAAAATTGTTGTGAAGGTCATTATTTGGATTTATAAAATTATATTCGTTAATAATCAAATTCTAGAAATTCTTATAATATGATTAATTAAGTTGCTGAATTATTATTAACCTATTATTATAAAGATAAAGCATAATATGATAATATGGTTTTATGTTTAGATACTTTAAATGAATTAGTTTAAGGACCATGTCCTGAAAATTAAGTAGCTGTTGCAGATTCTAAATTTTTTGAAATTGCATCTGATTTATTTGGTTCCAGAAAAGAAAAGAAATCTGCTGGCAAAGCTCAGACTATGGGTTCTAATCTTAGAACTACTAAAACTTAAAATAATAAGTATAAAACATGTAGATATTAAAAATAATAAAATGGATCAGATTTAAAGGCATGGTAAATTGAAAGAATGTAAACAAAATGTTTAATATTAATTTTATCATTAATTGAAATGAGAGAAATCTCGGATTCTAATCCTATTATCAAAAGAATCATGAGACATATTACACCTACACTTTTATAAAAACATCTAGTTAAATCATTTGATAAATATGAAAAATAATGTAAAGAAGGATATTAAATTGAAGTTTTAGATCGTATAAAAGAAGATCCAAAAGAGAATGAAGATGGAAAAGATGAATTAATTTTACAAAAAGGATTTTATATATATTTCTTAATGTGTTATTATATGGAATCAGATAAAAATGCTGAAAATCCATTTGTTTAAATGTACAGAGCTAATACAAGGAAAAAGTTAAAATAAGATAAAGGAGCATTGGAGGATTTACTATTTGGTGATAATATAATAGGTTAATTAGTTAGTTTTGTTATGTCTTTTGCAAATAGTTGGATTGATTTAATGAATCAAATAAAAAAGGAAGCATAAAAATAAATAGCTAATTAAAATTAAGGACCTGATTAATAAGAAAAATAGAAAAAAGAGAAGCATGCAGAATAAAAAGAAGAAAAGAAGGCAGAAAAATTAAAATAAGCTAAGAGAGCATTTGATTTCTTTTATAAAAATAGTGCATCAATAGAAGTAGTTAGAAATAATGAGATTGAAATAGTTTATTTTATATTACTGCCTTATACTAATAATTTACCTAAAGAATAAAAAGTTGAATTTCATGAAAATGTAGATAGATCATCTACAAAATCAAAAGTTTAATTTTTAGTTTAAGAATCAGAAAGATTAATAGAAATTTGTGAACATGAGGAATAATTAAGAAGAATATTTTAGAGATAAAAATTTTTAGCTTTATTTGCTAATTATGTTAAATTATGGAAAGACTTAGCATTCTTATTTACTTTATTGTTAAATCTTTTCATAATAGGATCATTTGCAAAGAATGATTCTGGTAATAGACTAACAGATTTTAGATTATTTAGAGATGAGAAATATTCTCCATAATAAACTAGAAATATCTTTCTTATATGTGGTACTATAATGGCTTGTTGTTCAATATTTGTTGTATCCTTCTTTTTATTTAAGAATGCTCCTTTAATAATTAGAAAAGCTTGGAAAACAAAATTACCATTTGAAGATAAATTTACATATTGGCCAATTTAATTGATTTATAAGATTTTTAAATTATTGGCAGTTCTCTTTTATATTTTAAAAGAAATAGAAGTTGTTTATTATTTGGCATATGGTGCTTTAGCTGTTATTGGAACAGTTTTACATCCATTTTTTTTTAGTTTTCATTTAACAGAGATATTAATTAGATATCCTACTTTAAAAAATGTTATTAGATCAGTTTGGGAACCAAAATAATAATTGGGTCTCACATTGGTTTTATTTATTATTTTAGTATATGTATATGGTTTAATTGCTTATACTTTTTTCTTTGAAGATTATAAAGGTAAATGTTAATCAACTCTTTTTTGTTTCCTTTTCACATTTGATTGGACATTTAAGGCAAATGGTGGTGTAGGAGGATATTTATCAGATTTAGAAGATGAAGATAAAGTAGAGAAATATCAATTAGGAAGATTTGTTTTTGATAATACATCTAATATATTTTTAGTGATTATTATGGTGAATATAGTTGCAGGAATTATTATTGATACATTTGGATCATTAAGAGAAGAAGAAAGCAATAAAATAAGAGATATTGAAGATAAATGTTTTATTTGTGGTAATCTCAAGACAACCTTTGATAGATTATCAGATAGTTCATCAATGGGTTAAGGATTTGATTATCATATCAAAGTTAATCATTACATGTGGAATTATGTTTTCTTTATGGCTTATTTGAAATACAAAGATCCCACAGATTATACAGGTATAGAATAATATGTGTGGGAGAAAATATAGAAAAAGGATTTGACTTGGTTTCCATTTAATAAAGCTAGAGAATTATAAGGTCTTAAATCAGAAGAAGAAGAGGATTCTAAAAGAATAGAAAGACTTTCTTCAGATGTAATATTATATTAATATTATTATAGATGTCAAGTGTTATGGAATAAATGTAATCTGTTACATCAATGTTGAATTAAATAAAAAATAGAAAATAATCAAGACATAATGCTATCAAATCAGTTGAACTGCTATGAAATTATCAAATTAATTATGATTCATAATAAAAAATCATTTTTGTTTTTTCATCTAATTCTGCTTTAAGAAAATTGATAAAATCCATACTAGAACAATCTAAAGTTAAACGTTTCATCAAAGTCATTTATTTCAATATTTAGATTCCATATATAATGTCATTTTAATCCATCTATATTCCCTTTAAATCTATGTTTAAATTTATCAAAGATTTTATAAATGCTAAACTACTCAGAACACTACTAATATTAACATTCCTTGTTCTAATATATTAATATAATATTTATACTTATTTAATATTATTTCAATGTCTCTAATTATTACAAAATTTCCTAATAATTACATAAATTTATCAAATTCTTAATTATCAACATCCTGATTATATAAATTAATTTTTATTGATAACATAGTAGATTTAGAAAGCTAATCTGTAAGTCTTAGTTATTCTTTTGTATTTATAGAATTTAGTCTAATAAAGGTCACATGAGGATCTTAAGTTTAATTCAAGAAAACCCTTTAAAATGGTATGACACAACTTTGAAAAGCTAAGGAATGTAGTTCTTTAATTGAAGCTCTTTGTTGAATGGAATTTTTCAAACTTAACATTAAGATATTGGCTATTTCATCACTTATCTAAATTAAAAATAAATTGATTACCCATATTGATTTTTAATTTATGAAATTAATTCATGAACTATATTTGATTAATGAATCCCATCTAATTCTTTATTAGTACAAAGGAGTGCTGCTTTGACAATACAGACTCCAAATTACCAACTATCAGACAATTTAGGATTATATTAAGAAGAATTAAGTTTTTCAGGTGGAAAATAAATGGTATCATATTCTTAATCAGTTCTAAAAGCATATCCATCAATTATATATTTATCTTTATATTTTTCATTAGGTTCTTGTATTCCAGTTAATTTAAGATTATCTTTATTAATAATAATAGATGTTGGAATTATTCTATTATTATAACAAGAATTATTATGTAGGGAAAGTAATGCATCCAATAACTTTTAAATTAAATTCCAAAGTTCAATATTAGAGAATGGAATTTTTTTGATTCTTTTATCTTTGATAATTTCATCTAGATTTTATCCTTCATATATTTCAATAGAGTATAATTTGACTACATCTTATTTATGCTTATACTAGAATACATGTGAAAAATGCTACTTTTTACATGATCTTGGTTATTTACTTGATCCAAACATACTATCCATAAAATTGAGTTTTTCATGTAAAAAGAATATATGTATTACTTTACAAATAAAAGTGAAATCTGTAAAATATAAATGTGTATTATAATAATGGCTAAATAATTATTCACTTTCATATTTTAGAACATAGAATTTATGCAATATTACTCTTATTCCTTAGTATGTACAAAGTTTAGTTTTACCAAATAATGATTTTTTAATTACTTTTTCTGTTTTAATCAATTTTAAGAGTTCTGATCTAGAAGTGATTTCTTTTGATAATTCTTTTTATCTAATAGCATCTGTTCCATCCCGTAAAAACTCATATAATTGTTTACATAAAGGAGGTGGTGATTTTATTAATTAGGATATATATTCTGCAATCATTTATTCACTTTGTTTAATAAACTTATTTTCTCTAAAAATGGATTAAAAAAATTCTTTCTTAGGAAATTATGGTAACTTAAAAATTGAAACATAAATATACTTAATAATCTGGATTTAAATCTTACAATTTTTAATGTAAATCTGATAAAAAACTATACTTCACTCTAATATCCCTTTGTTCAAATGTTTGTGAATTTATTATACGTAATTTGTATAAAACATTATCAGAATAAGTCTCTACTCCTATTATTTTGGCATCATAAATCATTAGATTAATTATATAATTAATAATGTTGAGAATCAAACTTTAAATTAATTATTATAGATAATCAAAATTATCTTAAAAATTATATAAAAACTATAATAAATTGATATCAAAATTAACCATAAACAGCACCAATCCAACCAAATATAACTCCCATTAATTCCAAAATAACTATAAAATAATTTAATTTATCTCTATATTCTCTTAGATAAATTAAAACAGGAATAAGACAGACTATAGTTGTACCTAAAAGTCCTCCTATTAAAGTAATATAACGACTTTAAATATAATATATATATATATTACTTAATATCAGGTAAAATTAATGCAAGTATAGCACTACCAAATTGTAGTATTAATGTTGAATATATATGAATCTTTGATCTAAAAGAATCAACACTATCTACTTCAAAAGTAATCTTTCCATCTTAAGCTTAGATCCTCAAACTTTTATGTTTGAGTTAGTATTCCATTTCATCAGATAATAACATATCATGTATAATTTATCTGCATGCTAATATATTTAAGGGAACAGCAAAGAATAAAGCACATGCCATACCTAATTTACCTATAAAAAAGAAATCTCCATGATAATTATTAATAATCCAAAATTTAGTATCATCCCCAAATCTTAAATAACCACTAATACATATTAGTGAATAAACTATATAACAAATAATAGATTATCTTATCCATATTTTTGATTATCTTGAGATTGTTGGATTATATAATTCCTTTCTTATTGGAAATACAAACAAATGACATAAATAACAAAAAAATGTCATTGCAAAAGTTGTAAAAATATTAAAATCTAAATCTATCAATTTTATTTTAATATCATCTTTATATGAACCTCTAACAAAATAATCAAATGAAGTAAGGAAAGTTATATATATTACAGATATTACTCCAATTAATGAAAAATATCTCAATTTATATAGAGTTTTCTAAAAAGATATCAATAGATTTGGTATTATGAATATTAATTATACTATTATTGCCAATTCTCTTTAATCAACAACTATCTCAAAATATCTGAAAAGTTCATATATAAATAATTGAAAAGAAATCTAGATTTATGTTATTCCCAAAAGACATTAACAAATAGTTAATATTTCAAATAATCTTTTCATCTTATTTCCTAAACTCATTTGAATAAGTTCACTAAAAGATGAACATTGTAAATCACCTGAACTCCAACTCAAAATGTGCATTGATATACATGAAATTATTCCACAAAGTGCAATCAAAAACAATTCAATTAAAAGTCCTTATTCTTTTGCTCTATCTAAAATACAATTCATATTTTTATACATGGTAAACCCAACATACCTACACCCAAACATGGAGCAAGTAAACTAATAATACTCATTCTTATTCCACCTTTCTTTAGAGGACCAAATGTACGTTGACACCAATTAAGTTACTATTCTTTCTCTTATACTGGCTCCTCCATCTCCATATAATTACTTATGAAGGTAGATTACATATCACTAAAATGTACTTGTGAATATGACATTATTAATATAATGAATGACATTATTTTAACTAGAAGAGAACAATTTAGAATCCAAATTCGTAAATAATCATTAGAAAAGTAATTTAAACTCAAAAGAGCATCCATTATCCCTCAAAATCATCAATTTTTACAATATAATAACTTAATCTAATTTGAGCTCAATTTTACAAATCAGATTGAAAATTAGATATAAGAAATTCTACATAATCCAACTAATTCTAAAATTGAAAAACTAATCTATTTAATATAGGAAATTGATATCTAGAATAAAATCAATCTAATCAATAAAAATGTTTATGAATTACTTAAATCTCCAAACTTAGATCTAAATATGACTTTACTTTTGATGTGTACTCTATGTAGTGAACCAATCATAATTTAACATATCTTTTTTGATCAAACATAAACTGATAGATTAATGTAATTCATAAATTACATCAATGGAAAATAAATGGATCATAAAAATTTTATGTATTGGGAGTTTCTTTACATACTATCAATATCATAAAATACTCCCTTTCTTTGTCTTAAATAGATATATGTTCTATGTTGTAAAGAAGTCATAGAATCTCGAAATAGTTAAATATTATTATCAGCACGAATTTTCCCATAAATCATTTAGAAATTTTCTGGATAATTTTAGTTTTATTGGGATACTATTAATTAATTAGATGATGAAGGGAGAAGACCTTGGAAATGTTTATTATATTTTCTTAAATAATAAATTGTAGATTATGTATCTTGTCAATATCTAATAATTACAATTAACTATTTTATCAAATACATTAGTAATAATTCAGAAGATTATAAATTTTATTAAATTGTTAATCCAGAATTAATTTCTATTTTATTAATAAATATGAATAGACATGAAAAAACATTAATAGCTTCTTCTTAAGTATTCTTATCAATTTTTGAAAAAGATAATACTTATTATCCATAAGTAATTGATGATTTAGTAAAATTATTATATAATATATCTATTGAAGCATAAATTGAAGTGCTTAATGTATTAGATGTACTTTTAAGAGATGAAAATATAGTAAAAATAGCAATAAGATCCTAATATATAATTGAATAATTGTTTAATATTTTAGGATCTAATATTCAAGTCACAATCAATTATTTAGCACTTAAATGTATTTCTAATTCAATTGCTCGTTGTTCAAACATATAACTTTTTTCAATTATATGCAATCAATAATATAAATTAACTTTAGAAAGGTATACTCTAGATGTTAATAAGAAACTTAAAGAAATGGCTTAACAATTATTAGATTTTTACTTTGAATATTGATTAAATATATAATTTAAATCAAATAAATGTTTTTCGCTCCTTAATTTCAAGAATTTATGGAAAAAGAAAAATCCATTTATTCATCTTTGTAAAAACATCTTGATATAATATTAGTACATTAATATACTTAAATAGGCTAATCAATTAGATTTTACATATCATTCTGTGTTTCAACTATTTTGTCATATATCCATTTTACACAATACTTAAGCAACTGTTTTTTAAGCCCTTATGAAAATGGTGGGTAGTTTAGTTGAATAAAATAAATAGTAAAATTTTAATGATTTACTTCTTATTGATAATCAACCAAAATCAGCTAAATTTTTATAACCAAATTTTTTTGAAATATTTGAAGATAAATAAACTCAATCATCCAAAAAATATAAATTATTAAATACTAATGATGAATAAAAGAAATTTTCTATATAGACTGAAGTAGAGCTTCCAAAAGAAAAAGTTTTTAGAGAAGTCGTTAAAAATAGAAAAGAAAGATAATAAATGGATGCTCATGAATGTGAAGAATGTGAAAGATTTTATAAAGCCTTGCCAAATACTAATTAAGCAGAAAAATTAAAGTAGGAGTATTCAAGACATAGAATTAATCATAAGATAAATCAAGAAAAATTATTATTAACTCCAGAATGATTAAGAATTTTTTAATATTTTTTTTATCTATTGTATTTAAATTTATTTTAAGTATATCAAGTATCCAACTCTTAAAAATAAGTAATACAATCTTAAACTAAGATAAGTGTAATCATTTTATCAAGTATTTTATTATTATTCTTACATCAATTTTATATATATAAAATAACATTTTTATATTAGAACAAATTTAAAATGTTCTAGAAGTTCACATTATTTTCCTTATGATCATCAAATATAAATAAAGCATATTTTAAAGCTTATTTATTTGATTTCTTTCCATACATAGCTATTATTTTATACAACAATTTGAATTCTAGAAAGTAGTAAAAAATATAATTTTCTATTTTTAAAATACTTATTATTCTCATACTTCTAAGTTGGCATACATTCTTTATATTAATCAAATTTTACGAATTTACACAATTTCAAACTGAATTATTCGAATTTTACAAAAGAAATAACAAAATTGAGTTATATTCGGAAGATTTTTCAGATTAAAATTCTTAAATATTCTAGAATAATTTCAAAATATTTGAAATATTAAACTTTGAATTGGTTTTTGGAAAAATATTATTTAATAACTAATTTTAAAGATGAATTTGTATCTTGAATATAATAATATTTTATTTTTTTTTTTAAAGTAATCATAAATGTGTATTTATCAGACTTATAAGGTTAAATAGATTTTTTCAATGAAGCCATGATGAACTATTAATTTTTTTTTTTAGAATCATGGCTTAGAAGTTTCTATCGAAGAAAATTATTTATTTATTTAATAATAATTAAAAATTCTGGTTAATCATAATGAGAAGTTAATCTAATAAAAAAAAGGAAAGTAAATAGTCTTTGAATGAAGTTCAGAAATTAGGAGAAGATGAAAATGTTGTATGTGTAGGATGATTGTGATATTTGTAAATGATTACAGTATTACTTAATAGAAGGATTAGAATTTTTTGAAATATCATTTTTAGTGACATTTCTATCGTATTAAATTAAACTAAGAGTATGTTTTCTCTTTTTTTCATTAATTATAATATCTCAATAATTACATATACATGAATTAATAGATATCATAGGAATATTTCATTTAGAAATTTGCATCTTTACATTTGAGTGAGAGTAAGAAATAAAATTAATTGTAGCTGATGATGATACTTCAAGAAGTCAAAGTCCAGTTTTGGATTCTCGTTTGATAGAGTTTTTGAGTGGATTGCCAGTTCATATAAAATAAAAATTAGAATATTTCAAACCCAGCCCAAACTTCTAATTTTCGAAATAAAATGATGAAAGCATTTACTTTGGTTTGATGGAAGGTAGCTTAAAACATGGAATAGGAATTTAACTGTGGCCTAAAATAGGAAATTTATTAAAAGGGTATAAATGAATATTTAAGTTTTCTTAGGACTTGGTAAAATGACTTACTGGAAGGTGTGTGCACCATGTTTTATTATAATGGAGACATGTAATTATTATAATAATATAGTAGTTTTGAATCTTATTTCTCATAAGGTACTTCAAATGGTTTTGGTATGTTTAAATCGGAAAAAAAAGTTGTAAAAGGTATAAACATTGTTAATCTATTTAAGGAATTTGGATAAACAATTAACTTTAGGGAGAAGGATAAGAGTTAAAGAATGACGGTACAACTTATTTTGGGTAATTTTGGAATAGTAGAAAGTAAGGGAGAGGCATATAAATGTTTCCTGATGGATGCAAGTATAAAATCTTTTAAAAAAAATTTCAGATATGAAGGATTCTTTCAAAATAATAAATTTGAAGGAGACGGAATATTTGCATGGAGTGATGGTAGTTACTACTAAGGTCAATTTCATAAAGGATTAATTAGAGGATTTGGTAATTACAATAATAATAATGGACTTTAATTAATTGGACATGTATATTATTTTATTTTAAGTTTATTAGTTTTAAGAAATAAAAAAAACAGATACTACAGATCAGAATCTTAATAAGAATCTACAAACCATTACATTTTAGAATTAATACAACTAAACGTTGCTAATCGAAAAGATACGCAATCTCTGACTTGATTTTTTATATATATTTATCAATTTCATTTAAACAATTGATCTATACTGAGAAAGAATATATAATAATTAAATTTATTATATAAAAATAAAATTCGTTTTTGGAATTTTTAACACTAATTATCTGGTGTTGCCTTCATTATTAATAACAATAAATGTATAAATTAGCAGTCTGCACATTGCTTATCCTTAGCGTTACAGCAATAGATGTTACCAACTCAGTTTGGACAAGTCATGACCAAAAAGCTTTTGCTTAAATCAAATAATCTGGTTGGGGAAATTTCATTTTGAACTTTGGTGAACTCCATTTAACTACAGGAGGTATCCTTGCAGAATTAAACACTGAAATTGCTAAACTTGTAATTACTTTTTTCATTAATTCGTTTAGATTGACGAATTAGATGAGGAATTAGCAGAAGTCCATCACTAATATGCAAGAAGAACAGATGTTCATAATAGAGAAGTCAATAGACTTTCATAAGAAATCTAAGATAAAGAAAGAGGTAACCTTATTAACTCTATATAATTTAGAGGTCTTCAATGCTCATGATTTCTATGATAATGTTTTAATCCCATAAAGAGATAGATTTGCTGCTTAACTTGAATAATTATAAGAAAACATTGTTTAAAACAGAAGAACACTTAATGAAGCTACAGTCTAAAGAGCTAATGATCATGCTGAATTTGAATCCTTAGTTGCTGAACACAATGAAGCTATTAGTGCTATTGATGAATCCTTATAATTATTAAGTCAATTGGAATCACCATCCCTTGTTCAAATTTAAAAGGTCTAAAAGAATTTGACTAAAATCCAATAATCCCTTAAGAGACACAGCACATTCTAAACCTTCATCAAGACTCTCTTAGAAATTGCAGTTGAAGCAAACTTTGCTGATTAAGGTGCTCTTAGAGAAGTAACTAATTCTTATGAGATCTCTCTTAGATTCTTACTGCCTTCAACAACTTGAGAGTTTAATTGGTTGACTCACTTAATCAACTCACTGCTGATGAAGCTGAAGCATAAAAAGACTTCGAAGCAAGAGTTATCTAATTAAACTAAGAACATGCTGAATTCCAAAGAGCTGTTGTTGTAAAGACTGCTGAAATCGAGGCTAATGCAAGTATTGAATTTAATACTATTAATTTCTAGACAAGATTGAATAAACCCTTGATTTGATTGATGTCTTGCATGCTGATTTGGATACTTTGAATGGATAATTGTAAGCAGAAAATGATGACTTCGCCTTTGCAACTGATGTCTATAATGCCACTGTTGCAGAATACAATAAGGAATTAAATGCTGCCCATTAAGCTTTGGATTTATTAAATTAACCAAGATTCACCGATTATGTTAAATCATAACTCAAGGGAGCATTTTGATATTATTCATTCAATAATAGTAAATGAATTCATTGTATAAACCATTCTTCATTAATTCAATTTATTTCACCTTCAAATTTAATATTAAATAAATATATTGCTTGATAAAATGTAATAATAAAATTAATTAATTATATCATCATAATAAAATATAGTTTTTTTTCTTGGTTAATATTTTGAATCTTGTAAATTCTATGTCTTCTTCAATTAATTCTCTTTCTCCAGTTTCTGGATCAATTTTTATTCTTATTTTTTCACAATTATATGCAGCTGGTGTTAATTTTATAACAACATGAATTGGGATCTCTAATTGAGGAACCTCTGAGATCTCATTTCTATGAAAATAAGCATAAAGAGATCTTAAAATAGCCTAATGTCCTATAACTAATACAGGTTCTCTAGATCTTTCAATTTCATATATAATGGGTTCTAACACTACATTAATTTCATCTAAAGTCTTTAATTAACATAGTTAATCCGAAGAATATTGCAAACAATATCAGCTGTATGAGTAGCTCTCTTCATTGTAGAAGTTAACCAATGAATTTGATTTTTTATTCTTAATTTGGAAAATCTTCAAATAAAAATTTACCTAATTATTATGAATATTAGATTCCTTATTATGATAAAATCATATTCTCCACAATTTTTGATAACAAATATCCTTTTACTTTATGAATTTAAATCTTATCAATAGATATCAATATGATACATCTTCCCCAATATTTATTAATTTAATAAATGATAATTTCTCATCTAAATCTATCTTTTGATAAACCTCTTCATAAATTTTTATTCTTCCTAAAAAATCTTTTGGAGCCTTTTCAGAACTCATTGAAATATAATCTGGATTATTAAGTTCGGTTAATTTGATATTATTTTAAATTACTTCTATATCATCACAAATAGATATTGTCCACAGAGTTTAAACATTTTGGCATTATTATAATAACTAACATTAAACCATATTTCTTCTCTGTTTTGTTGTGTTTGTCCCATAAAAAATAGCAATTTCTCCATCACTATTTAAATAATTGATCAAATGATTCAATGCCATCGAAGCACATCCATTTCTTTCTTTAGTGCCTAATTAATGCTCAAAACACTAATTCATTTTTTGAATCAAAAAAGTTCTTATCACATTCTGTCCCACAAATTTCTCTTCTATATTTTCCAATGTTGAAAACCTTACAATTATAACCTAACCAATTTTAAATATCTATGTAGTTTCCTTAATATATAAGTCTTCCCTCTAGCTGGCAATCCTACCATACATATAGCTAGTTTTTTATTTTTTGTGAGAATCTTACATTATGTTTTTGATAATTTCAAATTATTAAATTCTTTAAGAGATAACTTAATACTTCGTCATTATTTCTATTATTTTATTATTTTTAATATCTAATTAATTTTACAAATGATCTCTTTATTACCCAATTCCTTAATCACAAATACACTTTTAATAATCAAACCTTATGATTTTATTAAAATTACACATATTTCAAATCAAGTTTATATTAAATAAAATAGTTGAACCAATTCTAATATTCATTATCTAGTATGTAGCATTTCATAGCAAATTTGATAATGAGACAAAGTAATAAAGTTAGTAATTATATTTATTTATAATAATTAAATTTATCAATGAAGTTTAAGATTTCTTATTTCTTAAAGTGGCTACTCTATTCCTCGTATTCTTGCTGTTAAATTTAAATCTTTTGCCATCAATGTTACTCTTTTTGCATGAAAAGTACATTATACTGAATCTTCAAATAAATCAACCATATATTATTCAGTTAATGTTTATAGACATTCTAAAGATTTACTAGAATATCTAAATTCTTTAAACCCAAGTTCATCTGATACCTTAATTCCTGTCTACCTTACAAATCTTTAAAAACCTGCTCGGCGGCAAACTAATACACTTGATGCTTATAGTTATCTAATTTCTTATAAGACTTTTGACATAGGTTTATTTCTCTTTTATAGTTTATCCCTTGCTTTTTATACTTAAATTGCTGAAATTCTTTCTACTTTTTTTTTTTCAGATTTTTTGCTTCTTTCATTTGATTTTTCTGCAATTATACTTTTTTCATCTGAATCAAATAATGAATGCATAAAGCTTGGCATCTTTTCATTATTGTCTACTTAAAAAGATTAATTATTATTCTCTTTAGTCGTCTTTTTATTAGCCATTCCCTTTTAACAACTATTTAAAAAATAATATTAAAATTTTTAACAAATAAATCAATATCTACTCAGAAAGACAATTTCAGTTGAATAAATTAATGATTTCTTACTACATTAAAACAATAATTATTATGAAATAAATTATTCTATTACATACTTATAAAATATATTAATTTTTAATGAGATCATTCAAATTAAATGGATTCTTTAGTTTATTAATGAATTTATTTCTTTTTTTTTAAATCTTGAACAGCCCATAGTATTTATAAATTAGTTATATAATAAGGTTTCAATCCCTTTCTAGTACAAGGATCAAAATAACCATTTTTTTTTGTATGATTCTCAATAGCTAATCTTTCATAAGTTTATCCACTATCAGTTAATATTGGATCACTAAAGCTTTCAAATGTAATTGGACAAGTTAAATAATCAGGAATATCATCCTCATGTTCATTTTATTATAAGTAAGTTTACTATTTTACAATCTTAGACCAAAGAAATTTAACAATATACTATTTTTATTACTCAGGTAATTATGAATTTTCAATATATTTTACTAAATTTAATTCATCTTCTGACTTCTTTAATAATTCAATAAAAATTTCAATTTTATTTTTCTCATTGCTCAAATTTATAAATGATTGCACTTATCTATTTATGGCTTAATATTCAACTAAAATATTTCTATAAAATATATACTGAATTAAAGGATTTCTAATTAATTTCTTAAGATTTATAATATCGATGCACTTGGCTTTTATTTTTATAGTTCTACTATGGAAATGGCTTCTAAATATTTTGCTCTAAAATTATATTGATCTAATTATAAAGCTTAAATAGATAATTCTTTGACTTCTTTCCAAAGTTTTAATTTCTTATAGCATAATGCTTTATTTGAATAAAGGACAGACATTTAATTATTGTAATTCTTAATATCATAATTATTTGAATTACAATTGCCTTATCAAAAACTTCTATTGCTTTTTAGTATTCTCCTCTTTTATACAATTCATTTCCCTATTCTTTATATTTGTCAGCTTTTTATAGGTTTTCTTCATTCTATAGAATATTTGTTTCATGTGTAAAAATACAATCTGAATCATTACAATTCTTTTAACATTAGATGAACAACCTTTCATTTTCATGAACATCTAAACACAAATTAAAGTTTTAACAATTTTTATTACATTTCTTAATATTGAAATCATAATACAATTTAATGTTTTGCTTTTTCCAACTAAACCTTATAAAAGTACCCTTAATCAGAGGTATGCAAATTCTTACAATTTTAAATTTAACATTTATCATCAAATTCACATATTCCTATTCTTTCATTATCCATTCGATAATATTATTTATAAAATAATAGAAATTATTAGAAATTTCTTTAATTTTCTTTATTGTTCTATTTGCAATCAAAATATTAATAATTCTAATATTAAAGAGAATTCAAAATCTTTAACTTATAATAATACATGATAAATAAATTAAAATTTATAAGAATTCTATTTTAATTTTTAGAGGAGTGAAAAAAATATAATGAAAACAATAATAGGTTTGAATGAGTTATTTTATGGAAAACTTTGAGTAGATTTTATTAGGAATAAAATATAAATAAAAGACAACAATGAAGATGAAAAAAAAAAATTTATTTTGACTATTTTGAAGATGGGTACGAATTAAAAACTAAAACAAACAATGTTTAATTATCTATAAATAGAGAACAAATATTGATTAAAACAAAAATAGAGTTTGTAATTATAATTGTTAAGTAGAAAGAAGAAATTCATAGTTCAAAGGCAATAATAAATTTGCTATCTTCATAATTCTATTTATTCAAGAAAGAGAACTTATGAAAGTGAGAAAGTTAATGTATAAAATAAATACAATTTTTGTACATCTATCTTATAAATGAGAATAATGAATTTTTCTATATATAATCTATTTATATAAATTTCAACCTATTTGCACCCCTCTTCCTTAAAATGCTTAAAACTACCCTCTTTGTGCTTATTATTAAGGTTAAACTGTCTAATTATAGTATTATTACTATTAATATTATCATTATTGATTGTTATTTAATGTCTAATCTCTTTATTAATCTGTTTGGATCAATCCTCCCATTTAATCATATTGTAATATTTTGAATTCTCTGTAAGCCAAAAATGCAAAATACAGCAATCACACAATTACAATAATTTAATTATGCCCATGCCATATATAGTATGAAAATAGTTAAGAACTCATAAAATCCTGTCATTTATTGCAATACAAATAATTAAATCAACCCAACAACAAATTAATTTAAACCTAAAATTTATAAAATCTAAACTGTTTTTGTTGTTCCTTAAGTAGGTGGTGGAATCGATTAAAAAGAAATACACATTTTATTATATTAATTATAATTTAAATTTCACTTTAATACTTAACTTACAACTCTTTAGTCTAATTACATATTTGAAATATTTCCAATATAATTATTATAAATTAATGATAATTTTTAATATTTTACTATGTAGTAGAATTTTCTTTAATATTTCTTCGGCAAAATCTTTTTATTTCAAATTTCTATAAAAATAGTTAAAGTCTACTAATATACTATTAAATTACTCAAATGATTTTTAAATACTTTTGTTTGACATAACTCAATCTTACACAGACTCTTTTTATTCGATCCATATACAACTAATAATAATAATCATTTTTCTAGGTTGATTTAATATATTAATCTTTATTATAACACTCTCTGCATCAAAGTATTTAGATAAAAAATATTATGTTATCCCATATTAATCAAAAATTTAAATTCATTTATAAGATTATATTTCATTTCTAAATTATTACTTAATGAAGCATAGGATTATTGATCTATTTTAATAGAAAATATTAATGCTTATGTATTCTATTAAGAAAATAAATTTGAAATGACATTTTCATTAAAATCTTTAGAGTATTAATTTTATTTGTAATTCATTTACCTATCTTTGTTTTTATAATTTCCTTTATTCATTTGCAATCTTTATTTTCTGCACTTTTGATTTGTTCATAGATTACTTAGATATAAATTTGTTTTTCTATTTATTCGTTTAATATTATTTTTGCTTGTAACAATTACGGATTTAAATATTTTATAATATATATTAATCATCCAAATTATACTAAAGAATATAAAATAAGAACGAAAAATATGTTGAATAGANTATATAATCTATTTATATAAATTTCAACCTATTTGCACCCCTCTTCCTTAAAATGCTTAAAACTACCCTCTTTGTGCTTATTATTAAGGTTAAACTGTCTAATTATAGTATTATTACTATTAATATTATCATTATTGATTGTTATTTAATGTCTAATCTCTTTATTAATCTGTTTGGATCAATCCTCCCATTTAATCATATTGTAATATTTTGAATTCTCTGTAAGCCAAAAATGCAAAATACAGCAATCACACAATTACAATAATTTAATTATGCCCATGCCATATATAGTATGAAAATAGTTAAGAACTCATAAAATCCTGTCATTTATTGCAATACAAATAATTAAATCAACCCAACAACAAATTAATTTAAACCTAAAATTTATAAAATCTAAACTGTTTTTGTTGTTCCTTAAGTAGGTGGTGGAATCGATTAAAAAGAAATACACATTTTATTATATTAATTATAATTTAAATTTCACTTTAATACTTAACTTACAACTCTTTAGTCTAATTACATATTTGAAATATTTCCAATATAATTATTATAAATTAATGATAATTTTTAATATTTTACTATGTAGTAGAATTTTCTTTAATATTTCTTCGGCAAAATCTTTTTATTTCAAATTTCTATAAAAATAGTTAAAGTCTACTAATATACTATTAAATTACTCAAATGATTTTTAAATACTTTTGTTTGACATAACTCAATCTTACACAGACTCTTTTTATTCGATCCATATACAACTAATAATAATAATCATTTTTCTAGGTTGATTTAATATATTAATCTTTATTATAACACTCTCTGCATCAAAGTATTTAGATAAAAAATATTATGTTATCCCATATTAATCAAAAATTTAAATTCATTTATAAGATTATATTTCATTTCTAAATTATTACTTAATGAAGCATAGGATTATTGATCTATTTTAATAGAAAATATTAATGCTTATGTATTCTATTAAGAAAATAAATTTGAAATGACATTTTCATTAAAATCTTTAGAGTATTAATTTTATTTGTAATTCATTTACCTATCTTTGTTTTTATAATTTCCTTTATTCATTTGCAATCTTTATTTTCTGCACTTTTGATTTGTTCATAGATTACTTAGATATAAATTTGTTTTTCTATTTATTCGTTTAATATTATTTTTGCTTGTAACAATTACGGATTTAAATATTTTATAATATATATTAATCATCCAAATTATACTAAAGAATATAAAATAAGAACGAAAAATATGTTGAATAGAATATGTTAAGATTATGTAAATATTGGATGATAGAGTTATGATGAATAAAGTTGCTAATTAGATATCAAATTTTAAATTTTTATATTTTAACTAAACAAATTCATGATAGTTAGATAAAGCATATCACCAAAAAGAAAAAGTGTGACTCCTTCTATGTATGAAGGAAGATAATATTAAAATACCTTAAGATGTAGTAATCTTAAAACAGAAAGCTTGGATTAAAGAAATGTTTGTTCAAGGAATGATGATTACAAAAGAAAATAGCATAACATTTCTAATCCTAGAAAAATTATTTCAATATAAAATCATAAAGCCTCTTTAAATAGTTCTTATAATTCCAAAAACTTAAAAACAATATAAACATCTACTAGAAAATTATCTCTATAAACGTAACTCAAATAAACTATTATAGTAAAACAATGATAAGCAGTACTACAAGTGATAACTGTTAGATTTAAAAGTTCTTTCTTAATCCAATAGCCAATATTCTATAAACATGTGAAAGGTTGATTAAAGCATAAAGATTAGAAGAAGCAATGAAAGAATTAGAAGAAATTGATTCTCCTCATATCAATTAAGATTACCAATAATAAATTGCATTTTTTAAAGGGACAATACATATGCAAAATCATCAATATGAAAAAGCTATAAACAGTTTTTAAAAATGTAGACAATTAGGAGATTTAAATGGAAATGCTTAGGTTCTTTAAGCTATCTCTTTAAGAAAGATAGGCAATTATATAGAAGCAATATCAATTTTAAAAGATTTTCTATTGAAAAACAATGCAAACTAATCTCCAGTTTATTATGATGCTGTATTATAAAAAGGAAAGCTATTAATGAAATTAAAAAAATACAAATTGGCTATGCATGACTTTATGATTGCATCAACATTAGAAAAGGATATGCAATTGTTTTAAGGAACTTTAGGGAAGGGTGATTGCTTAAGATATTGTGGAAAGATTTTTGAAGCACTTATTATTTATGAAGGTATACCTGATAATCAACAAGTATTGATTAGAAAGATTATATGTTACTTAGAATTATAATAATTTGATAAAGCTTTAGATATTATTAATAAGATTTTAATTAAAGATTCTAATAATTCATAGGCACTTTATTTAAAAGGATAAGTATTTATGAAGAAAGGGAAATTTAATGAAGCAATTTTAAGTTTTGAATAATCAATAACTGAGAATAATAGTAGAAAAGCTGTAATGAAATCTTTAATAGAAATAGCCAAAATAAAGATTGACTAAAAAGATTTCTATTCTGCTTACTATACTTTATAGAGATAAGATCATTTAGATGTAGATAAAGCATCACTTATGGATCTTAAATAATTTACAGAAGGAGTAATATTTTTAATGAAACGTAAATACAAGGATGCCATTATAGTCTTAACTGAATTAATAAATAAATAATAATTGGGAGAGTTCATAAAGAAACTTATTTTTCTTTATAGAGCTTATGGTATTAAAAAATATATTATATATTTAGGTTTCATATGTGTAAATAAATATCAAAATGCTCTAAAAGATTTTAATTATATATAAAGATTTAATCCTTTAGAAACAACATAACAATATAATATGATTATTTGTGAAGGTATAGTGATGTCATAATAAAATTAATTTGAAAAATCTTAGTAGTTATTTCAGAAGGCTTCATAAATATTTCCAGGTAAAATGGAACCACATTTTTATAAAGCTTTAACTTTAATTTAATTTGTCAACAAGCTACAAATGAATGGAAAAGATAAATATATAAAAAAAGCTTTAAAATATCTTGATAAAGCAGTAACATTAAATGATAATAATTCAAAACTATTATATCATAGAGGAATAATACGATTCTATTTTGGTTAAT